TTTTTTTTTTTTTTGGGTCCGCGTTCGGCCCGAACGGCCGAACGCATCCCCAAGGGGTCCCATACGTTCGGGCGTTCGGGTTCGGGCGTTCAGCCCATCCGGAACGCCGGTTACCCTGGCTGGTGCTATTATGAAATAAGAGGTTTTGTTAGTTTTCTCACCATATATTGTTGGTGCTATTATGAAATAAATACAATATTTTTTCCTTTAAAATTTAAAATATAAGTATTATTATTATTTATTTATTTTAATATATAAGGCAAACTATATAAAAGGAATTTAACAATGTGAGTGGAATTATCAAACTTCAATGCATGTATTTTAATACAGAAATAGGCCACTTTGCAAACGAAAAACACGATAAGTCAGGTTGAGAGGTGTCGAAGATCTTGAGGTCAGCCTCATCTGGCTACAGGTTCTTTACTTTCATGAATCTTTTTTTTTGTTGAAAAGAATAATGGACTAGTGCTCCCTACCAATAAACGGAGCCTCCCTGATGGTACTAAAGATATCTGCTCCTATCAGCCCCCCTAAAACTTGTTCAGGTTTTCCTGAAAAAAAAAAAAAAAAGCATACGAACGAAAAAAAAATCATTTAGCACAAGGATGGATAAGCGGTGTGTTAACGAGTTCACTTGCCAACCGAGAAAACCAAAGCCGCAAGAGAGAGAGAGAAAACCAAAGCAATGAGAGAGAGAGAGAGAGAGAGAGAGAGAGAGAGAGAGAGAGAGAGAGAATCAATTGCCAACTAAAAGTACGTTAATATTCATTAGGTCATACTTTGTATAGAAACAAATCTCATGTTTCATGGCCCGCGCAAATTTGAATGTGTACAAATATACAATCATTTACACAATTATAGAAACTTTTGTATTTCGAACATCATATTGACATCATAATATGGCATGTAAGAAGATTTAGTTCATGACTAGATGTAGTGAAAATCTTGAACATAATACGATTTTTCTAAAATTATTGTAGCATTGAAATACTACACATATATTTCTAAAGCTCAGGTAAATCATATTACAATGTATATAAAGATTAATAGCATGAATATGTTTTTCAAATGTGGAGTTACCCCCATTGTTCCAACAGACGAAGATCCATGTGTGTGTATTGGTTTATATGTAAAATCATTATCTTAGAATGGAAACAATGCCAATCATACAAGCTTCAATAGTAAGAAATTCCATTTCCAAAAAAAAGCAATCACGCAAAACCAAGTTGGCACCTCCACAAGCGAACTCTGCATGCCGGGAACAAAATTCAAAGACGGAGGGGCCACAAAATAATCTCCATTTTCATAAAATCGATGACTTAAGTTCCTGAAACCGATTGGCAACCTGGGGAGGCAAAACTCTGTATTGCTTGGCAGGTCAGGTTTGCATGTAGCATTTAACGTGAAAACCAAGCCAAGTTTGATTCTCAGGGAAGTACTTATGCTTGATTTGATGTAATGCCATACGACCACCCCACCGTCCTTAAGCTTACAATCCCCTTACCAGGCCTCTGAACCATTGGGCTACTTTTCTAGATGGACTGTTTTTGGTCCATTTGGCTCGCTACCACGATTAGAAGTTGGGTTCCATGACGATTTCACTATAGCATCTCCTATAGAAAGGATTGCATAAGATATAACAAAGTCGCTATAGCATGAAACACTATAGTATCTACATTATGGAGATATAGCTAAACTTGGAATCCTACAAAAGCCTAACGCTTATGCAATCCTTTCGATAGCAAACACTAGATTAACCTCATTATGGACCTACAACTGAACTCGGAGCAAACACTAGATTAACCTCATTATCGACCTATAGCTGAACGCGGAATCCTGCTGCAATAGCTCAACGACCTATAGTTTTCCCTACTGCAAGTTTAGACCGACTGTTTTACAATTGAAGATCCTGCAACCTCATTTGTGTCTAATGACCTGTGAGGCAATACAGGTGAGATGAGCTGCAGCATGTGAGATGTTCATAGCCCATAATAGAATGGACATCAATTGAAACCAGATGGAACTTGAATGCCTGGCAATTCCCCAATGCTTAGAAGACTCCTACACCTTAGGAAGAGAAGACGGAGCATTCACGTCAGACCATAACCCAAAGAAGTTTTTTACTCCTCCGACACAGCGAGTTCAAAAATTGGAAACACTGGACCGCAACAGAAAGGTAGTAGTCATATCACGCTATGCTGCCGCAAGATCACGTTCTTCATCCAACTTTGGCAAAAGCACAAATGATGTTTCTTTGTTGATTCAACTTTATTGTTACTATTACTATTATTATTATTATTTTTCTTTTTAATTTTATTATTACTATTATTTTCACATTGGCGGTAAAAAGAAATCAATGCGGTTACAGAATCCAAATTTTTTGTTTTTAAAACCCAAACACCACACAGCCCCTTCTATTCTGGGAGGCACCAGTCCGGTTACTTATCCCCAGCAAGCATACGAAAAGAAATGTTAAAGAGGCACATAAGAACCATCATGTCGGGAGGTGGTGGTACACAGAAGTCGTAGCCAACCGGGAAACACCCCTTGGTACCCAGTCATTGGCCTGATACCTCCACCGGCTCTCCCCCCTCCCCCATCCTCGTTTGTCCCCAACAGTCCCAAGTAAGACCGACTTCCCACAAGGCTCACAAACTTGGCAATGTAGCCCACTGAGCCCCACTCCTGTTAAAAGGCAATGAGCATTATGTTCACCATGTATAAGCAGGACTAAGGTTTGGAAACCACACATGCACACCTGAAGGTGAAGTGGCAGTGACAACCTTTCCCTCCTTTATATCATATCTACCCCCAGTATCTGTCTGAGAGAGAAGTGGTTCATGTTTACATGTGTTTTTTTTTATTGCACGTACATATATGTTTTTTTTTGGTTACTCTTCGGGTTTGAATGAAGACAGGCCGCGGCCCATGGTCAGGACATCTGCACCACACATTCATATGCAGTCTCCTAGATAGCTTCTTGGAAATTTTACCATCCTTGTTCTTTTTTTTTTTTTTTTTTTTTTTTTGATCTGCAATGCTTTGTTTTTTTTTTTTTAACCCAAATTCTCTCTCTCATTCCATCCAAGAATCATCACAAAACATCCATAAAACAACAAAAAAAAACGAAACAGTATGGTAGAAGATGCAAGGTTGGCCACATTTGCGTGGTTCACTTGCACATATACATATATTTTTCGTAATCCAACGAGACGGAGAGCAAAGTACGTGTGTGTGTGTGTGTGTGTGTGTGTGTGTGTGTGTGTGTGTGTGTGTGCTGTCTCTTATACACATCTAGATGTGTAT